AAAAAAGTAGAAAAAAATATCTAGATTATTCCAAATCATATACTATATTTTTATCCAAATAATAGAAAATAATGCAATAATTTTTATATTGACCGAAAGAGCAAATACAGAATAAAAAAGTCATATACATGAGGCATTCTAACTCCATAATTTCTTAACTCTTCCTTTCTTCCATGTCTATATATATATATTATAATTATCCTTTACCATTGAATTTTCCTTTAAAACTTATTGAAATTAACGCCAACTATATAAATTCATATTTTAACAAGCACATCTTAGGACAAAAATCATTGTACAGTAACAAGAAACTCAACAAACACAAAGCATTTAATCTCAATAAGGTTTTTCAAAATAGTTTCAATCTCAATATTAAGAAACATATCAATTCATCAAAAAAGATTAAAAAAAAATTAAAACTTCTTCATATAATGTGAAAAGTTTTATTATTCAATCTTCTGGAACCAATTCGTCATCTTCCACTTGCTCTTCTTCCATCTCTGGCGTGACATCAACTCCATCTTCATCTTCACTAACATCAGTTCTAACCCAAGTCATATCTTTATTGTTATCCCCAACTGATGAATCATTGTGTTGTACCCCCATATCAAAAACATCTCTCAACTTAGCAGGTTTGACAATAAGCCAACCATTATCCCTTTCATCCTCAACATAGTAGACTTTTCTAGCTTGTGATGCTAAAATGAATGGATCATCAAGTAAATTGTTGCCTTGATGGATAAGATATGAGAAATTTACAAGAGTGAAGCCGAAATTATCTTCCATGCAACCTCTATTAATATCAACCCAATCACATCTAAACAGAACAAGCTTATACATACCAGAGTAATTCAATTCAATGATATCAGTTAATACCCCATAATAGTTAATCTCTTTTTCTACAAGCTGTCCACTATCATAACTTTGATCTTTCACTGTCACAACAACACCGCTATTCTGAGTTTTCAATGATCTCTCGCGTTCCTTAGTGTGAAATCTAAAACCATTAATCATGTAACCAGTATATCTTCTAACCTTATTGTTTGGCCCATGAGCAAGCCATTTGATTTGGTCTGTGATTTCAGCACTTCTTTTCTTTAACAAGTCATTAGCCTAGTCATTACATAGTAAATTTGAGAAAAAATGGTAATAACATGAATTGATTTATTATAAATTATATACTACATACCTTTTCTTCAAACCAAAAAGTAAAGGTTTGACTATGAATTTTGTCGATCTCATGATCTTTCAATCTACGAGAGTGCCTCTGTTTCATAATCACCTCCTTATGACGCCTATATGCAGATTTCAATAAAGGATTAGTATAGTATATACTAATTAATTATATATTTAAGAGAGAACAAAGACTAACTTTAGAAATGGAGCAACTTCTTCACTATTGAATAGCACATATCTATGTGCTTGTATACGTGTTTGGTCATCTAACTCAATTCGAGCAACCCTTTTTCGCTTCTTCACCTGAAAGCCTTGTTTACTCTTCCTCCCTAGTGGTCTCCCATTTTCATGATCATCATCATTGCGCATTAGTCGATTAAATTTAGTCTCAACCCCCGAGAGATACCTTGAACAAAATGTCAAACACTCTTGAGCTAAATAACCTTTCGCAATGGAGCCTTCTGGGTACCTTGGATTACGTACATACGACTTTAATGTGAAAAGTCCCCTGCTCAAATATGAATCATTATAAACATATTTAAAAATAAAATATTAACTTTATTTAAAAGAACCTGAAAATGGATCTATTGCTAATGCCAATTAGAATATCAATTTTTTTGTTTACCAATGTGCAGCAATCATTGAATAATGAAACGCAATGTCAGTAATCCTGAATTAAGAACTCTAGGAGCAGTCAGACAAGTTTAATGAAAACATATATAGAGAATACTGCCAACCCCACAATTATTTCCAATATTCTAGCCATATAGAATATCGTCCCAGGCTTTGTCTTTTAGGGGGAACCATTTCCTATGCTTTGTCAAGGGTCCCTTTTGGATGTTATAGGAACCACACAAGACATATCTATTATAAATACGCCTATAATATTCTCTTCAACTTAGATTGCAATTTTACTTAGTATATATGAATGATGGACTTTACAGATAATATTGCATAATGCATATCCGTAAATATTTTCACTATAGTTGTTGTAGCTTTGAATTTATAAGTACTTGAGTATATCTTAAAAATTATAATATATATTTTGTACTGTTCATTAATTGATGAGCAGAATATATAGCTACTCTCTCTTAAATTCAAGGGATATTTTACAAACTCACAAGAAAGTACCCGATATTCCCATTTGAAGCTGAATCTGTTGGATTTTGATATGATCTCTGAGACATATTTCATCTACCACATGATGGATACATAGTAACAGTTAAAATATTTGCTTCTGATAGCTAGAAGAAATCTGGGGAATATTTCTCAAATTGAGCAGAGAACAATTTTACTAACTGGATGATATATATATATATATATTAAAAAAAAATAAAATAAAAGAAAGAGAATCAAAGATGCTCTTTCCTCAGAGTTAAAAGGACCAACCCTTTGGAAAAGTACAATCCCTCCAGAAATTTTAAATGCGATGGACCCTAAATTCAGAATTTCTCTATGGTCGTCTTCAAGTTAATATAAAGTTGAAAATAATATAAAGTAGCAAAAAAGATGTCAACACCAGAGCACATCACAGTTCATCAAGAAAGTTAATAAAAATAACCATGTAAAACTATAAGAGCTCATTTACGCATCTAAAATATACATAACTAGCAACTGCTCCTTCATTACCCAATACTCCCATAAAAATCTAATTTTTCTTTCAAGAATAAACCCACTTTCAACCTCATAAAAAAGAACAAAAAAAAGAAGAAGAAAAACTCAATCCAACAAAATCAATGACCACGGGAAAGGGAGAAATTGGGTTCAAATGAATGAACAACATTGCATATGTACAGCAAGTGAAGGAAAAAAAATTAAAATCAAGGTTAAAGAAACTAATAAAATTATTCTAAAAGATATTAAAATTATTGATTATGAATACCAACCAAGCATAAAATTGACAAAAATAATAACATATTAATCTAGATTAACATCTAATAGTCCTTGAAGTTAGATATAGATATATTAAAAACTAAAACCACATGAAAAAGGTTTAAGTTGTACCTCTCAATAGGATACATTCATCTAAAATTAACTGGCCCACCAAGTTTCGCCTCATTTGCCAAGTGAATAGCCAAATGAACCATAATGGTGAAAAATGAAGGAGGGAATATCTTTTCCATCTCACAGAGAGTAATTGCAATTCTATGCTCAAGCAAGTCAAGATCCCTCTCACATAGTACCTTAGAGCAAATGTTCTTGAAATAGTTACAAAAATCAATGATAGTTGAGCATACCTCGTTTGGCAAAGACTTACGTAATGCAATAGGAAGAAGTTCAAGCATCAATACATGGCAGTCATGACTTTTGAGTCCAATTAATTTGTGTGGTTTAAGTTGGACACAATGTGATACATTTGATGAGAGTTCATCTGGGGCTCGAAGATCCTTGAGAACTTTAAAGAAGGCATCTTTTTCTTTGGAGGTCATTTGATAGCAAGCTTTTGGCAAATATTTAGTATTAGTACGTAAGCGCACCTTGGGATGGAGATCATTCCGTATACCCATGTCTTCTAAATCACATCGTGCTTTGTAATTATCTTTAGACTTTCCATGTTGGCTTGTGATGGTGCCACACGTGTTATCAAATATGTTTTTCACTGTATGCATCACATCAATATTATGACGCAATAAAAGATGTTCCCAATAAGGCAGTTGAAAGAAGATGCTCTTTCTTTTCCAAGGTTGCATGCTGCCATTGTTGTATTCATCTTCTATGCATTCTAATTGCCTTAACGCCTCAGACCCCGTTAGCCTCATAGGTGCTGGACGTGTTTCGCAAGTTCCATCAAATGATTGCGCATCTTGACGATAAATGTGATCAGCTTCTAACCATCGTCGATGACCCATATAACAATACTTTCTACTGTGTACCAACCATAAAGATTCTGTATCAAAACCACAATAGGGGCAAGCATACATCCCTCTAGCACTATACCCAGAGAGACTAGAGAGCCCAGGAAGGTCACTAATAGTCCACAATACCACTGCTCGCATTAGGAAACTTTGATTAACAGAGACATCATAAGTTTTCAATCCTTCATCCCACAATTCTTTTAATTCTTCTATTAAAGGCTGCAAGTATACATCAATCTTATTACCTGGGCTTTTAGGACCAGAAATCAGCAATGTGAGGATGAAATTGGGTTGCTTCATGCACAACCACGGGGGCAAATTGTACGGTATCAATATAACAGGCCATGTGCTGTGAGATACTGTCATCATCCCAAATGGATTAAAACCATCTGAAGCTAACCCCAAGCGAACATTACGTGGATCAGCAGAAAATTCTGGATATCGAGAATCTAGATATTTCCATGCTGGAGAATCTGCAGGATGCCTCATCAATCCATCTTTGGTGCGCCCTTCTTCATGCCATTTCATTAAAGAAGCTGTTTTTGAACACATGAATAATCTTTGCAACCTTGGTTTTAAAGGAAACCAACGTAATACCTTTGCAGGAATATTTTTTTTCTTAGTACTATTAAAATTCTCTCCCTTATCTTCCACAACAACACTACTTTCCTTCCATCTAGAGGCACCACACACATCACATTCTTGTTGATTTTCACGATCTTTCCAGAATAACACACAACCATTTGGACAAGCATGTATTTTCTCATACCCTAAACCGAGACCTGAAAATATTTTCTTCATTTCATTATAAGTAGTAGGTAGTGTGTTTCCATCGGGTAACGCCTCTTTTAACAACTCCAATAGCATGGATAATGATTTATTACTCCACCCATTAAGACATTTTATGTGGTACAAGTGTACTAAGAATGGCAGCTTTGACATCTTACAATTAGGATACAATTCTTGCTCAGCTTCCTTAAGCAATTTGGAAAACATATCTGCATCACTGCTTTCAAATTGACTATATTGTCCGTGGTCATCTCTTGTTTCAGTGCATGTTCCATCCAGATCAACATTCATGCCACCATTAATATTAGTGTTTTCAGCATGCATACCAAATGCATCACTCAACAAACCATGTATGTCATGAAGAAAGCCCTCATCTTGTTTGTTAATTTCAACCTCAGGTGTTGATGATCCAACACCCTCACCATGCAATCCCCAGTTGACATAGCCCCTAAGAAATCCATTGCATATGATATGATCAAAGACATCTTGTGGGTACATAGATTGCCCGTTAACACATATCCTACAAGGACATGTGATTTTTCCATCTTCATCTAGGTGATTTGAGGCAAACAAAATGAATCTCATAGCCCCTCGCACATATGTCAGGGAGGCCCTTTGTTCAATATTTATCCACGACTTATCACCTGATGTAATATTACCAACTGTAATGAGAACAATAAAGAATGCAATCAAAAATATTAAATATAGCATTCCCAAATTAAGCCTAAGTAAATTTGGGAAGCAATTCGTTTAAATTGCCTTTTTTTGCATGATAAGTTCTTTATGAAAGTTTGGCTGAGGACTACTTTGGGTTTGTACAGGGTAGATTGGTTAATCTGTTAACCTTATTGTTTGGTCAATTTGGAGTTTTCGACTGTATAGGAAATCTTTTCCTGCTCTCTACACATCCAGTGAACCTATTTCACACTCTGAAGGATCAAAAGAAGAAAGGGAACAAAATAAAAGGGAAAAGAACCAAAAGGAGCAAGCTGTCTTTATTTCTTTAACCCTATTTCAGTGAATATATATTTCTTCATATCTATCCTAGCATTTAATTCATGGTAATCATGTTCTCTTCAATATCCTAGGGGCATATTACAGGTGTAGTGCATGAATCATGAATCTAATATGAAGATTACTAATGTAGAACCACTCTGGTTGCACAGGTTTGGCGTGTGAATGGCCAGGAAAAGGTTCTCCTTCCAGCTGCTGATCAATTGAAATTTTTCGGGGGAGATTGCTATATTTTTCAGTATGCATATCCTGGAGAAGATAAAGAGGAATATCTGATAGGAACATGGTTTGGAAAGCAGAGTATTGAGGTGAATCTAATAATTTCCTACTACTTGTGTGATTATGTATGTATGGCTGTAAACACATTGATTACAAGTATGTGCATTTATAAGTGCGGTCTATTCTTCTTTATAAATTATATGAATTAGAATTTGTACTTATTGTGCAACTGCTTATAATGGTACTATGTTAATATTTGTTGTGCATTTACAATTAACAGGAAGAAAGAGCTTCTGCCATTTCACTGGCTAGCAAGATGGTCGAGTCAACGAAGTTTTTGGCTACCCAAGTAATTTTATTTTACCTTCGAGTTCTGTTTTGATATCATTAGAGCTTTTCTTTTATATATGATGTATTTTTTTATGGTACATTGCCATTGGTTCATAGGCTCATATCTATGAAGGAAGTGAACCAATTCAATTCTATTCAATTGTCCAGAGCTTTATTGTCTTTAAGGTACATAGGATTTTGATCCCTGGCCTCATTTTCTGGTATGATTTGCAGTTTACTTTATTTTTAAATTCCATATGTCAAATCCAACTTATGTGAAATTTATCAGGGTGGTCTTAGTGATGGATACAAGAACTCCATTGCAGTAAAGGAAATCCCTGATGAGACTTACAATGAAGATGGTGTTGCATTATTCCGAATACAGGGTTCTGGACCTGATAACATGCAAGCAATACAACTTGAAGCTGTATGTCATCATGCTCAATTTACCATTTTGATCCTTCAGAGCTAATAAAGTGTGATCATTTAGTAAAAATACTTAAGAAGCAAAGACGTATCATTTTCAGTGTGAGGTTTTGCACTGGATGTTGTTTTTTCTTAGGAATTTTAATGGTTGTTTTGTCCAACACAAACCCTTAGAATTGTGTGATTTGGTTCCACTACTGACAATTTCTACTTAGTGCTTATTTTTTGAGTGATACGTCGATGTAAACAAAGAATTTATACGAAGGTCCCATCATAGGATGTCATTTTCCTTCAAATTTCCTAGTGAGATGTTGGTTGATCCACTTATTTATTAAAACCATCTACCATGCATCTCATATTGCTTTGCTGTTAGTAGACTTATTTTTGCATTGTGTGTGTGTGTTTTTGTGTGAGAGATACTTATGCTTCTTTCCTTTGTCTCCATCTATCAGGTTGCTTCATCTTTGAATTCTTCTTATTGTTACATATTATATAGTGGTTCCACTGTCTTTTCATGGACTGGAAACCTTACTACCACAGAAGACCAAGAACTTGTTGAGAGGCAGCTGGATTTGATCAAGGTTAGATGTGTATTTGAAGTTATTTCCTCCTAGAGTTAGATTTAAGCCTATGATTTTTGCACAAGTATTGCTTTCCACATATTTTCAATGTACAGCATATCTGGTAAGAATGACTAAATACATTGTAATGAGTTACATGTATTTGTATTAAACATTGCAAAATAATTCTGTGTAACTGATTAGCGCTACCTGATTTTTTAATTTCATAATGGGGTCTTCCATAGCCTAATTCACAATCCAGGCCACAGAAGGAGGGTTCAGAGTCTGAACAGTTTTGGGAGTTGTTGGGAGGAAAAGCTGAATATCCTAGCCAAAAATTTGCAAGGGATGCTGAAAGTGATCCTCATCTATTCTCTTGCACGCTTTCAAAAGGTATGGAAACTAAGTAACTGTTAGAAAAGTTCTTTAAAACCTTTTTATTCTGTCTGGTGTAAGATGTCAATTTATGATTTTCTATTTTTTTTTTCTTTTCATTTGCTAATGGTCATGGTTACTGCAAACTGCCTATGGAATTGCAGGGAATCTGAAGGTTTGTTTCCTTTCTAGCCTTAATTTCTAACTTCATATGTGGACTGTGATGTATGTAGTTCAAATCATATTTCATTTGCTTATTCTAAGAATGAGTTCAATTTGATCTTCTTTTATTTTTATATGTTCTATCTGTTGATGGATTATGCTACCCAGAGTTCATGGTAATTAGTTGTTTGTAATTCTGGATTTTATAGTCTTCTAACCTTATTTGAATTTAACAAGTGAGATTTAATCAAATTATTGTACTCCATATGAAGGCTGATGTTTATTAAAAAAAAATGTTATTTTGTTATGCATGGCAGATTTTGTTTGCAGTTTACTTTCACATTATTTATTCAATGGCTTTAAATTGAAATTTTGTGGCAGGTCACAGAGATCTATAATTTTACCCAGGATGATTTGATGACTGAAGACATATTCATCCTCGATTGTCACTCAGATATCTTTATCTGGGTTGGTCAACAGGTTGATACCAAGAAGAAACTGCAGGCCCTTACTATTGGAGAGGTAAGATCAACTAAGTGATGCCTGGAAAGACCTGTTTGGATATAAACCACACCAGGCAGGATTTGACCATTTCAAAACTCTAGTATAAGACCACAAACAAGCTTGTTTTGATTAACCAAGACAGCAGAGTCTCATTGCATTGAGGGTAGGTGTATATAGTGAGGAAGGCTTGTCAAAATAATATTCAGACAATTAAAATTTAAAGAATCATGCTAGAGAGGTTGAGTACAGAATCATACTTTACCTGGTGACTGTATACATTCACCCATGTTTTGATGTGTAGTAATAAGATGTTCATGATGTGTCAGACCCACAGTTGGCTGCCGGACTTGAGTGTGATTGGGGGGTTGTGATGGTGTGACTTTCTTGACAATTCTAATTGAATTTCTCAATCTCCTACGCCTTCCCATTAATGACGAAATTGATCTGCCCTACAAAAAATTGAAACTACAGAGTCAAATTAAAGTCTAACCAATAATCCACCAAGCAGAACTCTAAAGTGAATAAACTGTGACCAACAACCATGTCCCTCACAAGCATTTCATCAAACACTTTGAGTGCAAAAATAATAAGACTTATAATCATTCAATCCTCAAAACCCCACAACCCACAAATTCCACAACAACAATAATCCAAACCCACACAAGATCAACATAATTGGCACAAAAATCAAACCCATACAGAGAGCAATCTTGATTATCAGGGCAATTAATGTAAACGGAAACAAGATTCTCACCTAAACGAATAAAGCTTATAGCACACTGTTGAGGAGAACGCGTCGGGTGGGAAGAAAATAGTAGAAATCTGATTCTTAATCTGATTCTTGGTTTCACGCTTTCGGATTAAGCCGATAAGAGTTGGACATGGAAACTGTCTTCGTGTTTTTAATGTTTATAGAAACCGAATGCCATTGAATGAGTGGGAAAAAAAAGGGGACTAAAATAGGTAATATGGGTTTAAGTGTACAGAAATTATTATTTAGGGGATTTGTTCGAAAAAAAAAAACCTAGAAATAACCTCTATATATATATTATTTGTGAGATCCTCTTCCCTACTCCTCTCACGCGGCAGCAGTAATCTTTGGCCAACTCAAGAAACCCATTACAAGAGGTATGAAATTCAATGAAGCAAAATAATGTTTTTACTCTTGGATATATTATTAATGATGTTTTATAGTTTTGGTTATTTTTAGTTATGGGAAAACGAAAGCTATTGAATAAAAAACGCAAGGATGTCAATTCACAGACACAATCAAAACGCCAAAGGCAAATTGATGATGAGCATCAAACCTTAACGCCTACTCATGTTGAGCACACACAATCACAACTTGAGGATCCGATTCAAATGGAGGATAATTTTCCCTCTCCCATACATTCTAATGATGAAGTTCCTTCCCAACATCAGCAGTTGCCAGAAGAAATTGGGCATTCACTAAGTATAATAAAATTATATACTCTGCACAATAATTTTAAATTGACCATTATCCTTTTATATTTTTTTAACAATTTTTTCTTATGTATGTTTCTTTGGAAGGGAGAACTCAACAAAAAAGGTTTCGTGGTCCCACTTTTATGCCTGATTTGTGGGAACTGCCAGCCAAGGAATGTATTCTGGTCGAATTAAATGATTTCGGCCAACCGATCGGGGAGGAAGCATGTTCCCTCACGCGATTCATAGGGGTCTTAGTTAGAACTCACACATATGCTCCGATAGACATTAAATCTTGGAAAGAAATGCCGCAAGAATATAGGGATGCGATGCTGACTTTGATTGAGGTAATTATTTTATATTAGTATTCATTGTTTTAGTTAATGTGCAGATGGTACAATTATTTTATTATTTATTGTTAACTGCAGTCAAAGTTTCAATTTACACCACATCCCTTTGAAGCAACGAAAACGTGGATCCTTAGGGACATGGCTAATAAATGGAGGCAATGGAAAAGATATTTGAAAGAGAAAGCCTATGATCCGACCAAGAGTAGGAAGGAGATGGCAAAGAACATTCCTGATACTCGAGTTGATAAAAGACAGTATAGAAAGCTTGTTAAATATTGGTGCAGTAAAAAAGCAAAGGTATGTATGTTTTTCAATGTTTGATTATATAATATTATTTTATTTTTTTTAAAATTTTTTTTTGGGATTACTGAATGTTGTTGGCTTTTGTCATACCTTCTTATAATAAAGGGCTAATTTAGAACTATTGAATTCTTTCATTTGTTCTATCACATGTTGGATGCGTTTGTTCATAGGAAATTAGTAAACAAAATAAAATCAATCGCTCCAAATATAAGGATCTCCATCGTTCAGGCACAAAGTCATTTCCTAGGATTATTGATGAAATGGTAATTTCTCCCCTTATTCTTTTAGCTCGTACTATTTATTTCATTATTCAAGAAGATGAAATCCTTTGAATTTTATGTAACTTTTAATGCCTTAAATTGTTAGTTTCCTTGGTTAAATTTCCATTTATGCAGAAGAAAAAAGAAGGAGTTACCCCTTCTAGGGCAAAAGTCTACATTACTACTCGAACCTCTGAGCATGGTGGGTTTTTGTCGAATGAGACACAAGCTACAGTGGTAATAGTTTAGTTTGCATTTCTTTAAATAATTGTTTTTTGTCATAACACCTTTATTTTGACATTTCTCTTTATGGTTACTAATTTTGTTTGTATCAACTGTTTACCAATTGCTATGATGGTTTTTATAAACAATAAAGGAAAAAATGGACACTATGATCGCTCAGGATGTTGATTATGAGAACACGCTAGGTACTGAATCATGGGAAGATGATTTATACTCTAAAGTAAAAGGAATTGACAAGGGAGGTCGTGTTCGATGTATGGGAATGATTTCAAAATCATTGAAAACTACTACGCCCAGGGTTGACAAATTGAAAGAACAAATGGAATTTATGGCCAGGGTTATGAATGACTTTGTAACTGGGATAAAAGAGCAATTTCCGGATATCATTTTAAGTTCCAACGTCGTGGAAGCCGTGGAATCTGCACAACAAATTGTTAGAAAACAGGTATTCTTTTGACATCATCCCGAGTCAACTTGTTCAATTTTTTTTTTTTCTTGTTTTGGAGGGGCATATATGTAACGCACATTGCCATTAAAATTATCTTCTTAGGTTCCCAATGCAAGAAATGCCCCTAATATAAATATAAATAGAGAAATACATTCTCCGGAAATAACAGATCGTGCCGTTCAAGATGGGTAAGTTGGTCATCTAATATTTCTTTTGTTCATTATGTTTATAAGTATATATAATATGAGTTTATGTGGTGTTAACCGGTTTATTTATTTATTTTTTGCAGGCAACTTGCAGATATTTAGTGGATGGGAAATTTATTAGTGGATATGCAATAAGAGTTTTTAGACTACTTTTGGACTGCTGCTCATCATTTTGATAATTTAATATTTAGAATTATATTGTTGAACACTTTTGTGTAGAACATCTAATGTCATTGTTTAAGAAGGTTATGCTCATTATTTCCCCCTTTATTAATTAATATCCCATGATGAGTTTCAATCATAAATTTGTGAGCTTTTTTTCAAACTCCATTTGTTGTCATTGTGGATCCTGGATGGCACATTTTTTGATAATCAAGTTCCATATTTTTTCTCCCTTATTTTATTTTTCTTGATTCAAATATGTTATTACAAAATTTAATTATGCTTATATTTTTTAGAAGCATTTTATCTACTTTAATCTGTTATTTTAACATTGATTGTATTATTGTTTGCAATTTGTGATTTTAAAAAATTTTAAAAGTTTTAATTATTCGTGCAAAAAGGATTTAAATGCATAATAATAAAAGTTTTGTGACTAATTAAATATCTTTTGAAAGTTGAGGGATTGAAGTGAAAAAAGAATGGTTCCTGTTGGACCCAAAGAACGACTCTTAGGTTATGGGATATAAAAGCTGGAGGACTAGATCCGTCATTTTATCATTGAAGAAATTGCAAAAATGGG